ACGTTCACCCTTAAAAACTCTGAATGGTAAATAGCAATGGAAAGCAATTGTCAGAGCCCCTTAAAATTTAAACTGGGAAAAGCACAACAAAATGAACCACAATAACGCACCTTGTTACCAAATTGTCATGTAGAATCCCTGTGGGAAGCTGACAACACGTAACACTTTATGAGCTTAGAAGAGCATGGGTATAACTGAAGTTTCACATAAAATTTAGTATCATTATCTTAGCTTTTGCTAAGAAAAGTTGGACCAGATGATCTCGAGGTCCCTTCCAACATGGTATTCTATGACTCTGATAATCTGACCAGCTCCCAATGGGATTAAACATTCCATGTCCAGCAACTTTTTAAGGTTAGAATCAAAACCAGTTTCAGCAATAGCCTTTGATATTATTTCATAATCATTATAGACTACAACTTACTTTACTATAAAAAAGGGTTTTAAAACAATGACTGAAGTGACAAAAATCAAAATATACTTAATACAAGCTTCAAACCAGATTCATTGGTAGTAGTGGTTAATAACATGCTGACATCTAATGGTAGCTTTGTATACTGCTCTCAGCTTTTTCTGCTTAAGAATCACACACTGATAAACAACATATGGTAAATAAATATACTGATTGTAGGCTATTTCCCTTTAGAGAAAGAACAGAAAGCTGCAGCTACTGCCCACAGAAAAAACAGAACAGATGTTTCCAAGGCTGATACACCTCACACAAATGCTCTTTCTAATTAACTACCTACCAGATACATTAGAATTCAAGGAAAGATTAAATACACGCAGGCTTTACTACAGAATTAATACTGAGGAGTTATTGTTGACAGGAACTTCCATATTTGAAATCAAACTGACTTATGTAAATGATAAAGGCAAAACCCAAAGAAATTTCACTCTTCATAAAGCCTAGAGATTAGTAAATCAATTTTCAAGTCCACTGTTGTCTTTTAGCCAGACAAAAATAAAATTCTTTAATTCCTTTATTTATTGAATCAAAAATTAGAATGAGAAGACATTCGGATATTATTATTTAGTAAAGGTTACATTTTTCATTTTTCTCTTTTCATGCTTAGTCTTTTAGTATTTCATGAGCCTTCACAGTCTGCAGAATGTATTTGATTCAACTCTGACTCAGATCCATGGAGGCATCTCACTGGTGTGTGGTAAATGACTTTTGAGTTACTACAGCTACCTGTTAGTAATCCTGATGATTTTCTTAACTTTGGTATTTACGGGAAAACTAAAATTGTATTTAACAACATGATAATGTCACTCAGTTCACACAGATGCAAGGAAAGGAGATGGGACTCACCATGCTGGTTAACTTTCTAGAAATCACCTGTGCGAAGCACACAACACAAAACAGTAGATGGCAGCAATAACCCACAGACAAGAAGAATCACTGCCCACCACCACCCTGGGGTTTTTCCAGCTTCACTGGCAAACACCCAAAGGCACTAAAATAAATGGAATGAGGGCCCACCTAAAATTAGACAGAAGGCTTTCTCTTCTTTGAGCAAAATGCCAACAGAAATTTGTACATAAGAACACAATATGTTGCTGAGATATTGCAGCTTTAGATGAAGTAAGGTTGCCAGTTTCAGGAAAGATAAAGGTCTTAATTGCACATTTTTATCTTTAATGAGAAAGTAAATGAATCAGTGCTTCCTCTCCTTCGCTGAAATAAGGTAGACTGATGTGGTATATTTTTTAATGCTCAATTCATAATCATTTTAAAAGCACTTATTATCGGCACCAGCTTAGATTTTTCTAGTGCCAAATTTGCTATGGGTGACAAGGGTTTGTCATAGCTTATCTACTCTGTTTTCATAGGACCTGTTCCTCCCATTTCAAGCACATCCTCCCTTCCTTCCTTCTTAATCAATGTTGAGACACTAAGCAGTCTCTTTGCCATAAGACCCCAAGGTCAGCAGAAAATAAAGACGAAACTGCAGATGCTCTCAACTTCCTTATAATATTATGAGCTTCAGTACCACGTGTGTCCCTGTGTTACATTCCATTCTACTGTAGATGTGTTCTGATGACAATGCACCATGTGTGCTCTGACCTGCCTGTGTGACAGCATCCCCTGCTTGAGCAAGATTATGCATCTGCTTACTTCTTATGTTGTTATCCCTACACGGTGCTCCCATGGACAGTTAAATGTGATGCTGCTTTCGTATATAATCACCTCCATCCTTTGACCTCTTCCATTAAAGGATATGCATATCTTTGTTATGCTTATGGTAACTGGGTGATAGACTCTTTTTCTCCTACCTCTTTGATGCTTATTCTAAATGCATTGCTTTTGTTTTAAAAAGGAAGACAAGAAAATGTGGCTCAGCTCCGCTGTTAACATACATGCCATCTTATATACTATTTTATAAGATTTTTTTAATGACAAATTTTAACCACATTTTTACATGACAGAGGAAGGATGCCTACAGTATGAGGAACAGCATCCAAAGAGTTCAGACTGATGGTCATCAAAATTTTTGAGCTGATGACTTGTCAATCATTTATATAAAATGAATAGTGTATGTTTCCTTAGATACTAACAATGAAAAGACTATACTCCACAAGGCACTTGGTAATTCATTTTCTAAGTAACAAGGCAAACGACTGGGTGATATTGTTGGTCTTAGATCTGGTTTCTTTGGATGGGGACTGAACTGTTTTCACACAATGAGACACCAGTTCATGGAATCCCATTAATTCTAATTTAATTATAACATCATAATATTTACTACTCATGGTCAAATATCATACTGCATTGCAAGCTGCTTCATGGTACTTAAGAGCTGTATGGAGATGACAGCTTGAGCTTATATAAGAACAATTCTTTATCAGTTTTCATTTGGACAGCTCAATGGTTCAAGAAGGTTTGCAACCTCAAAGGTTTCAAAGAATAGCCCTACATGTTAAATATACCCAGCAGTTTTGGACATTTTAGCATTTTCTTCCATCTTCCATAAGGATGGTTTACATGGTAGGGAAATGGAAAGAGACATGATGAATTTCAGAGAAGCATCTCAGTCAAATCATAGACTCACAGCCTGGTTTGGGTTGGAAGGGCCCTTAAAGCCCCCCCAGTGCCCCCCCCTGCCCCGGGCAGGGCCCCCTTCCCCCAGCCCAGGGGGCTCCCAGCCCCGTCCAACCTGGCCTTGAACCCTTCCAGGGAGGGGGCAGCCACAGCTTCTCTGGGCACCCTGGGCCAGCACCTCACCACCCTCACAGTATATTTCTTCCTTATATCTCATCTAAATCTACCCACTTTCAGTTTAAAACCATTACCTCTCGTCCTACCCCCACACCCCCTGATCCAGAGTCCCTCCCCACCTTCCCTGCCCCCCCTTTAAGCCCTGGGAGGCCGCTTGAAGGTCTCCCCGGAGCCTTCTCTTCTCCAGGCTGAACCCCCCCCCCAACTCTCTCAGCCTGGCCTCACCTTAAACATTTGCTTGCAATTGCACTGCTCATGGTTAGACATTTTAGCAGGTCAGTAAAATTGTAGCTGGTGGGACCATTTTCATCCATAGTGCTTTACTCACTGTACCTACTCAATGAATAAAGAAAGACATAGCCCACAAAGTTGCTTAGATTGATTTTGCAAGAGTATTGGTGAACTCACACAAAATTGTAGACAACAGAACAAAAATACTGAGGAATTACTAATATCAGAACAGCAGGTGTCAGCACTCATAAATGTTTTAATAGCAACTGTCCAGAAGCATGTAAGTAAAGGACAGAAGGGAGTTTTAGAAGGTCATAAGGACTCAGGGATTTTGAGACAGATTTAGTCTTTAGCCTCATACGCTGCTAATCTGAATCACTCTGAAATCAAGTAACAAAAGTGTGGCAGTAGGAGTTCATGCCAGCAATAGAAAGACTGTTCATTAAGTATCTTACTCTCGCTGAGAGAAAGTGTTGGACTTTCACTGATGCTGCTCATATCACTTGGAAACTTCAATAAACAGGACTACATTTCAGCATTCGGCACGCCACTCGCATACATTCTTCTCAACCAGTCATGCTGCCTAACCAAAAACTTTGCTCCTCTGGTACGTAACTGAAAGCAAAATTCAGGCTACCTCCAAGGAAGAATCTAATCACAGAATAATATAAACTCTTAAAATAAATATCTGAGTATTCGAGTAGTCTAATACCATTTTCTGTTCATAGGTTGCAATGTGTTTCACAAAGAAGCCAGCAATTCCACATTATCAGTACATCTATGCAATATGATAAATATGAGTTTGCACGTGTCTCTCTCTACCTGTCCATTAATTACAAACATCTCATACATGAATAAAAAGAAGAGCCATGAATTATCCGTAGTCCTCCTGATCCAGCCTAATACAGAACTCAGTGTTTGAACTTTTTCCAAATGTGACATTCTGACACCTTGTATGTAATGTCTGTATGTGTAATGATGTGTTTCTACACACACCTTGTTTCTGTGGGATGAACCTTGCAGAAACGCAGCAGAGATCACACCTTTGGTGTCTTCAAAAAGGGATGAAAGCTCCAAACTCTCCATCAGTGTCCTGCAATAGGTCAGGAAGAAAAGCGGTAATACCTGAAACTTGAAGTGAGTTTTTGACAAGCATTTTTTTTTCCTCAGGATTGTTATAATTCCTTTCCCATTTCGGACTCCTACTTCAGCGTGATCACAGAAAGCCATATGGTGTGCGTTAGGATGTTTAACTCCTCAAATGGAGTGCCTGAAAGGTAAATCTTACCAGTCTGAGAGCTGCCCCTTACTCATTCTTTTATGTGAGAGCATACCCCCTCAGCCATTAAAAAACCATCAACTTTCCTCTGTACGCTGAACTACACCCGAGGCCAAGGGAGCGGCTCGAGCTCCCCTCACGGCTCCCCACACCGCTGGCCGGGCCCGCTCCCCTCCTTCCCCCGCGCCTCTTCCCGCCCCAACCTGCCTCCACTATCGCCCCTTCCCCGCCTGCTCTCCGCGGCCGCTCTCCCGCCGCACGCCCGTCCCTCGCCCCGTCGCTGCGCGGCGGCCGCGTTCCCCTCAGGCAGCGCGTGAGGGCCGCGGCCCCGCCCTCGGCCGGCGCGGAGGGGCCGCGCGGGGCAAAGCGCGGAGGGCAGCGCGGCCATGGAGGACCACGAAGCGGGGAGCGGGCCCAAGGCCCGGCGGGTGCAAGGTAACCGCGGGGAGCGGGGCCGTGCCCGCGGGGGGGCATCGCCCCTCAGCCGCTGCGGCTTCCCCGCGGGCGCTTTCTTGCCGCTCTGCGGTTTTCTGTTTCGGTTTTAATCGCTCTTTTCCTTAGTCGCTGAGGAAAGTTTGCAGATCCTTCCACCGAAGTTGATGCCGCGGAAAGAGCGAGGAGCGGTGCTGCCTCGCCGCTTTCCGCGGGCCTCGCCGAGGGGGCGGCGGCGGGACGGAGCCCCCGCGGCGCTTCGCCCCCGCGGCTCCTCGGAAATACCCCGCGGGAGGGTGCGGGGGCATCGCCGGGAGGTGGCCCCGGTTGCGTGACTTGGGCTGTTGTCTGCCTGGGTTTTGTTTCCCTGCACGGTAAACTGGGGTCGCTGAGGGGAAAGCTGAACAAATAATTCAGAGCAGGGTCGACAGGAGTAATCCCCGAGACACTGCGCCGGTAACAAAAACTGGGGGACCGGTGGCTCACACCGCTCCTGCTTTTGACTTGAGCAAAATGTGAGATAGCTGTGACTGGAGGAAGTGAGAAAAGGCTTAAGGCTTATATTTCCTCAAATGGGGCAGTGAACTTGTAGTTAATTTGTGTTTCTTGATACCGTTATTCTAGTGGGTTTTGGCCTTTCGGGTAGTAGAAGTGAGTGTAACCTGGGTTGGGAAGTTTTGGAGATGATGCAGTAAAATAATGCAACAGTTTCTGCCCCTGGAAGCTGGAGTTTTCCTGTTACCTGTGTTGTTCAGAAACAGACTATGGAAAAGTCATAATTTATTTTATTTTTTAGTAATTTGCAACTGGAGAAGGAAGTGTATTTATAAGATCACTTTATATACAGAGGCTTTGGCTAGGTAATCGGAGATGTTGTATAAATAACTGGAGACCTATTTGGGCTCCATGCCTGATGGCACATGCTAGTTCTTGTATCCTTGGAGAGGCTCTACATTTCATTTTGTAAGTATGCTAGGTATTAATACCTAAAAGTGATCACTGATGCTAACCTCGCCTGGGACTCAGCAAGCCCTTCACTTTACAGGCTACTGAGGTTGCTTCTTTTGTACTTAGTGTGTGATGTGTTATTTTGGAGGTTAAAGTTGGCTACCAGTTATTTTTGTCGTCATAAAGATCTATAGTGTAAATGGCATCAGATGTAATTTTGGTTATTAGACGTAATCATTTTGGCTGTTTCCTAAGTGAAATTCTTTGAGAAGCATCTGAAAAGACATTTAGTTCTCACTGAAAGTAGTATTCCTTATTATTCCAGATTTTTTGCTAATTAGGAACCAGTTGAATGGCTGTTGTAGAATAACACCCTTCGGTCATTCTCAGACTGTCCTGGATTTGAAGGAGCAGCACCAAAGCAGAGATCTCTATCTAGAATCATTTGTCTTGTATTTGGTCCTGTTGATTTCCCGTATGCATTTTGTTTCAAATCTGATGGATTGTTTGCACGGCTGTGGGGGAAGGTCCCTTCCTCTCTTGGTACCTAGGGGTCTGGCACATTTTTGCTATTTGACAGTGATGTGCTTGTTCAGATTGTGTAGTCTTTGCAGAAGAAAATAAATTGCAAGTGAAGCTCATGCCACTTTCCCTTTCATCCTAGCCTCCAGCACTGTTTATTATAAACTGTTAATAATGTTTGATGATCCAAGTGATAATTTCTTGCTAAAGTAATGGTAACTGTTACAGTCAGCCTTAAAGGAGTAAAAGGCTGATTTCATTATTTTTTTTTTTTATATTTTTTCTCCTTGTGGTTGCCACTGTCCACAAATAAGATTCCTCTGATTAAATTCCAGGTGTGAGTTTTTAATATCTATATAATAAAAGAGCAAGAATATCAGTATCATAAGTATTTGAACTGAACATGTAGCGGTGTATGAAAGAGTGTTCAGCACTATAGAAAAATCAAGCAAGAGAGAACCAAAGTTGAGTACCTGGAGTTAACTGCAAGTTTAAAAATTCCAACAACTAAGCATATTATTTCAATGGCTAGTTGCATGTATCTGTCTCCTCAAAAAATGCTAAACTCAACACTGTTTCTAAGAGAAAAGATGATAGTTATGAATTGCTTGAGATTATAACCAGTTTTTGCCTTTAATCAGAGGCATAGCCGATACCTGATATCTGTGTTTATTCCCTTGGAATGATATAATATTTTGCAATTCCCTAAACTGTATTTGAAATAAACTTGGAGCTTTAAACCTCTTGAGGAAAGGAAAAAAATGTGTATACATAACTGAGGGAATGTACCAGTTCTGGAACATAGACTTTGAATGTTAATGGTAGCATTGGGTGAATCTGCAGCACCCACATTTTGTAAGTAGTTTGACTTTTAATTAATTATATTAGTTCTAGGGTGCATTGTCCCTATTCTTCTTAGTTGAGTTGTTAGAAAATTACATCAATGTGGGATCTCCACACATGAAGGGATTCTTTTCATCCATTACTGTGAAATGATCCAAAGTCATGAAGTATCTGACATCGCTGCATGTGTGTATGGCAGTCAGTGCCATGAAGGATGGCACTGGCATAAGTGGGGTTTTGAGCATCTTTTCACGGCCAACATAGAATAGGTGAAATGGAGTTGATGTTTTAATCATTAAAGAATAATATTTTTTAATATAAATGATTCATATTATTAATAACAGTTGTAATACACGCATCGATTTGCCTTTTTCTTTCATGATTACATTTTCTAGGCCTTGTCTGCAAGTCATAGCGCCTTTAAAATGAGGGGTAGCTCCCAACAGCAATAGCAGTGGAGAAAATGCAGTCTACTCTCTATGTTTTTAACATCAGCAGGGTTTTTGGTGGTGTCTGTTTTCTGAAGCCATTACATTGTTTTTTCTCACTGCTTTTTCAGCAGCTGCATACATTACAGTGTATTAATATTTAAATATGTATCCACAGCATTATTGTTAATGTTCATGCATCTGTTGTATGAGCAAGGTTTTGTTTGTGTGTGTTGTTTTTTTTTTTCTCCTTTGAGAAGAGTAAATTGCATTTCTCCTTTTTAAATTTGATGATGTAATGATATCAGGAATGTCACATGGGGAGTCTGGCTTAGGGAGAAGCAAAACCCAGTTCTTTAGAGTTCCCAGGCAGAACTTGCACTACAAAACCGTTTTTCCTTATTTCTTACTCTAGTTCGCTTTAGCTAATCTTGAATGCTACAGATGCAGCGAAGAATTAAAGATAATTTTTTTTATTCTTGCTTTGCCTCTGGATCACAAAATATGCTGAAGGTCTGTTTTCAATAGTTCTTTAGTTGTTTTGTGGGGACTTGGTGAAAAGACTATCTCTCTGAGCTGTTGACACTGCCTGCCAAGAACAAAGATATGTTTTGTCTCTGTTAAGAGATAGGTGTTTTGTTCACATATGTGATGGGTGAAAGAGGGCCGGGAGGCAGTCTGTTGCAGCCCAGCACTTAGTGTGGTGCAAAATTTTGTTCTTTTCAGCACGTTGGGTGGGCAGGGACATGCATCATCTGAGGCTGCGTGTTACACCTGCACCACCTTTCGCAGTCTCATTGCCGCGCTGTTGAACTGGCCGCTATTTAGAATCCAGTATCAGTGAGCCCGAGTGAGAAATCTGGCAAGAGTGGTCTCCATTGATGAAGTTATCCAAGTCGCATGAATGAGATGTTCCAAAACTACAGTAAGAACGCTCATTCCACAGATGCCAAGCATGTTTCTTGTATTTCATACTGTTTTTTGCAAGACAGCACCTCTCCCACTGTTTCTGTTGTGAAATATACCACAGGATGGGACAATCGTTGTTAAATAAAGCGTGCGCTTACTCAATCTTGAAATTTTACATTATTTGAGTTGTGACTTCTACCTTCGTGTTCAACAGGGAGGCAAATGGATATTTTTTTTTTGTGCTGTACTTCTGGTAAGAACAGGTAGGTTGGTGGTGAAGACTTGATGCTAAACCGTAGAGTAGAACTGAAGCAGGATCCTCATCTCCTTTAGGTTTGTAAAAGGTTTTGAAGTAAGAGAGAGAGGGAGACTTTTCTTCCCATTCAGTGAAGATTGTGAATAATTTTTATGGTTTTAGGCTAATCCCTTGTTGTTAAATGAAAGGTAATGTTTCCTTCATTCATGAGTTTACAGACGTTGCTCGATGCTGACAGCTGCGTGATACCGATATGTGTAGGTAACGCGTTTCCTTGACTTTCACAGAAGGCCTGGAAATTACTCCTTTAATCTGGTATTTTCACTACATCATAATAGAAAGGGGGGGGGAATATCTTCTGGTAACTTTCCATAGAGGAACTTTAAAATGATGAATGATATGACATGTCCTTGAGGGCCGTTAAACTGGCCTGTGACAGGGATACAAAATATAGGTAAGATAGTAAACTGGCTTTGGAAGCCTTGAGTAATTTCTTAAAGTTCAAGGTATGGTGCAAGACATAAACTGATTATTCTCCACCACCTCCATATTGCGTCTTGCTTGAAAGGCTAGGAGTACCTCTAAGACCCACAATCAGTGAAGAAGAGAACTAGAAACTTCAGTATTGGTTCCCAGTTATTTTGCTGAGCTCTGTGACTTTAGTCAAATATTGTGGATTTAAATCTGCAAAGTATGTACAATTATTTGCTGTTACTCACTTTCAAGGTTAGTGATATCTAATGGCTGATCTGTCTCACTTCCCTCTTTATCCGAGGCACACACACCTAATGCTGAGTTCAGTCGTGGGCACAATAAAATTCTTACTGATGTATCTGGAGTTGTTAAAATCAATGGATATTTTTCAAAATGAAGGGTTTGCTTTATAATAAAATGGGTTCTACTTAATATAACTGTTAGGGTGAAGACTCAGAGAGTTATTTATTATAACTGGCCAGTTTTGTTGTACAAATTGAATTGTAGTTGTGTTAATACAGAAAACAATTCATTATATAATTCCAGGTAGAGCTAAACTGAAACTTCTAAAACTAAAAATTTAATGCAATTTCTGTTCTAAGCAAGCTGCTGAATGTAGTCCATCAGGTGACGAGACTCCAGTCCTTTCAGTACCTGTGGCATTGATGAATTTGGGATAGGGTTTGCACATTTGCAGCACTGTAAGGGGGAGTTGGCAGTTCAGCAAAATCACGGAGTGGGGTCCTGAAGCAACGTTCTTTCATCTACATGTGAAAACTGTGTTTTTCTAAGCTTTGTGGGTGCTTCATGGCACTTCATACTTTTGGCTTTTTACAGGATGGAGAAAGATGAATTTCAGTGTCTCCACAGTAGGAATGCGGTGGCTGCGGGTGCTCGGTTTCACCCTGGGGTATCCCTGCTTGGCAGTGCGCTCCTGGCAGCCTGTTATGAGTCTTAGCTGGCAGGATAAGAAGCTTCCTACAGCTTTCTGAATGCTTCCCAGCATGTCCACATTTTGCCAGGGTGCATTGCTTTTTTTAGCTGTTCAGTATACGAAACCACTAGCTCTTGTTACTTCCTGATTCTGGAAATAAATACCTTCAGTTGGTGTCATTTCATGACAGAGAACTATCATGTGTGTTTTCTAAACATAAGGAGTTGTTGGCCAATAAATGCTTTGTAGAGACTTCATTTCATGTCCAGATAATCTTGCACTGCATCTTATCCTACCTCCTTGATACAACAGTCTGAGAATTGTGGTTTTCTTAGATCTGTACTTACAACAGCTGGATCATAAACCAAATTCTAAATGTTCTGTCATTAGAGTTGGTAGGCTGCGGGGTATTGGCATTAACTCATAAGCAAGTGTTGCTCTGACTTTTAGACAATAAAAGAACAGGATTTCTGCTGCTGTCTCTTGGTCATTCTGCTAGAGAAAATGGGGGATGAGGGAGGCATCTGAGAGTCTACACATAAATATTAGCATACTTAATTCTGCATAAATGTTCTTGGACCACATTCTGTCCTCAGCTGTCTCATGCAACTTCTAGAAACTAGTGAAAACAAAAGCAGAATTTGGCTTTTAATTTACCTTCTGATCTAAACCTAATGAGTTTGGCCAGAGGAGTAGTGCTAAGGGTGGCTTATCTCAAAGAGTACTTAACATAACTATTCAGTTGTAGGCACTTTCTATAACAGGTACCCTTGGCTTTAAAAATCTGAAAATTGCTTCTCTTTTCTTGCAGGTGACTCTGATACTGGCTTTGGTTTGTGTGGATGGATCCTGATGATCATTTCACTTTTTTTCACTATTATTACATTTCCTATATCAATCTGGATGTGTATAAAGGTAAAATTGTTCACTGCTAACTTGCATTAAAACTTTAAGGAATGCAGATGCTTCCTAGTGTAGTTATTATTGTTCTCTGTTTTATTTATTTGCTTGAAACACAAATTAATCTAGCTCTGTTCTTTCTTGAACTATAGCAGACAGTATATAGCAGACTGAAATATTTCTATCCATTAATCTCCAAACCAAAAAGTGCAATTACAGGATTTAGTCAAAAAGATTTTTGTGTTGACATCTTTACTACATCGACCCAGTTGTCATTAGTATATAGGCTAGTTTGGAAGATCAGAGTAACTGCAGGAACACATAATTACACTTGGAGAACTGATACTTTAATTTTGTTTTTAAGGAGGTCTCTCTCTATATATGTATGTGTGCAAATATAAAGTATGTAAATATAAATATATAAATATGTACATATAGGTGGCTGTATGTGACAGATTCTTAGAGAATGTGTCATCTGTGACCACTTTGAGCTTGATGTTTTCAGTTTCCAGACTGGAGGAAATAACTCCTGCTCTGTTTTGGCTAATATTCCGCATCAGAATTAAAACTGGAAAAATCTCTGCTGGGTCACGTATACTGCATTTTGTTTTGGTGTTGCCATGATATTCCTGATGGCTGCTTCCAGGGCTTGGTTCTGCCCAGATGACATACTGTTGCTTCGGCTGTTGATAGATGATGTCACAATCTGAAGAATATTTCTTGTGGAATATTGTCCTGATTGTTCCTTTTGCTGTTTGCTTTTTGACAATAAAGTTTAGGCTAAAATTCTCAAAAGCAGCCGGTATAGAAATGTATGTTACATTTGAGACTCAAGACTGTCCTAGACTAGTGTATACATAGTTTGGAATCTATCATATGGCTTCTGGAAACCCTTGCATGACATCCAACTATTTATTACAGATTATAAAGGAATATGAACGAGCCATCATATTCAGACTTGGACGCATCGCAAAAGGGGGAGTAAAGGGACCAGGTATGTCCTGGAGAGCGTTCTTAATGTTTATTCTGATTGAGTCATCATTAAAACAATAGCTTTCTGGCGACATTGCATTAGACTGGTAAATGGATTTCTTAAGAATTTTGTAACTTCCAGTAAGAGGATATGTTACTTTATATGGAGAAGATAGTAAACTAATTATCTGTGAGCATTAGCCAGATCTCCATAGTTAATGCTTGGTCTTCAGGTAGAATCAAAAGCACGGAATGTAAAGGGAGGACTAATGGCATCAAATGTGCCATTTTAAAAAAAGAAATTTAGTATGTCAGTTAAAGTGGTCTGAAAGCCTTGATGCTCTTAAATGAAATAGAAGCAATTAAATTATTTGATAGTTTTGAAGAGTTGCATGTGTGTACTGGAAATTCTGATGAGATCTGAAAGAGTGGCATTTTCAGCTGTTGCTCCTGCTGCTCAGAGTGACAGAAAGGGGCAATAGCTTCTTCCTTCATTTTCATCCAGATTTTGCAATGCTTCCACATTGCTATAAAGTTGCAGAATTTCAGTGATCCATGAGAATAAAAGGAGATTGATAGTTTCTGCTTGCCAGAATTAGACCCCACAAGTAACTATGTGGAACAGATTTTCAAAAGTAGCTGTTAACAGTTCAGTTTTTTGTTGTTTTTTTGTTTGGTTGGGGTTTTTTTCCCAAATGTTAAAGATATCTAAGGTAGACCTGAATAAATTGAATTTTCTCAGATACTTTTTTGCAAATCTTATCCTGGTTTGAAAGCCACTAATGAACATGCTGCTGAGCTCATTACAAAGTGGGCTATACAGCCACAGTGGTTGGATTTAAGCCTATTTCAGTAGCAAGTTTCATCTGTTTTAATTGATCCATTTTCTCATCTTCTTAAATGGATTTTTTTTTTGTACAGGTTTGTTTTTTGTCCTGCCTTGCACAGACAGCTTCATCAAAGTTGATATGAGGACTATCTCTTTTGATATTCCTCCCCAAGAGGTGAGTTTCCACTTGCCTTTGTATCTGCTAAAGTGTTTGCAGAATTTTTTGCACTTTTTCCTTTCCCCCTCTGAGTATTAGGTAGCATGTAGTTTTAATCTAGATTTCTTGTGCAGGTTAAATGTATTACAAAGAATACATATAACCTTTAGTAATATCTCTCAATAAGAGAAGAACTCTGAAAGAAGAAAAAGTATACTATCCTCTAAGGACCAAATAAGATAACTTAATACTGCCTAAGAGCTCAAATGGGAGGGATTTGGAATGAAGACTGCTGGACTTCATTAAACATTCTCTATTTGTTTCTGTGAAATCTGGAAGATTTCCAGAAGCAGCAGTGATCTTACCAATGCCAATTTATCTAGATGGATAAACTAGCTAATGTAGTGGGATGGAATTATTATATATATCAAATGGTCCATTCCCTTATGTGAGTTTTGTGTACATGTTGCTTCTGTGTCCTGCTCTGCACAGGACCATTATGAAGGTGTAAGGCAGCTAATGTCATCAGATGTCTTTCAGTTCTGAAGGTCCTAAAGAACAAAAAAAATAACTTTTATTTCTAGTCTGCTTTTTCTTGGACATCTAAATTTTGAGCAGAATTACTCCGCAGCATCAAGCTAGCTGAACTCAGGGATGCCAACTCAATGGATGACAAAAGAATAAAAACCAACTAGCCCTCTAAAAATGTATGTTGATGATTATAACCGTCTCCCTCATGTATCTGGTGTATTTTGTAAGGCAAAGAGGCTTGATGCAACCTGTCTGGTGCATCTGGTTCCTGTCATATTTGCTAGTTGGTTTATTGCTCATCATTCATTGTAGATTTAGACAAATGGCAACTGTCATGGTACACTCTGAAGGGTAATTGGTAGAAACCTAATCACTGGCAGGCAGAATGTGCTTGCAGCTGCTGCTGTGCTATTAGTGAAACCATCAGTTCTAGTTTTTCTTTTGGCTTGATTAAATTATGCTTATGGATTTAGGTTGGTTTGTTTTCAGTAGGTAAAAGCAGAAATACATTTTTATTTGTACAACATGATTTCTGTGCATGCTCCTCATTCTTTGTTTATCTTATGCTATTATGAAAAGCCTCCTAAAATAGGTAGTTTGGGGAAGGACAGAGCAGTTAAGTCTTGAAGGTTAAGTAATTCACATGTCTCTCTCCTGTCAGATAACATAACAGTAATTGTCTAACATGGAACTAGGATACCTCTTCTCATGGTCATCCAGTGTATTTCAATCACTTTTTAACTTAACTTTAAAATATGGTTAATATTAATGCTTCTTTCTGGGGTACCCTCTTCTAAACCTTCAAGAATATCTGTCTTTATCTTTGCTAGTAGATCTTTTGCTTAACACATACGTGTTAAATTCAGTAAAACACTTGAATCTAGCTCTGACAATGTTCACAAATTGGATTTCCTCTTCCACTTGTCTCGAAATCACCACAAACTCATTTAGTAGCACAAAGTGACATTTCAATCAGAAGTACCTCCAAGAAGGACAATGAACTGCTAGATAATAACAGAGATACTTCTCGCTAAATGTTGAAGTAGGGCTGACACCCATGCAGCTGAAATACATCGGGTCCTTGGGACAGGCAAAACCGATTTTGTAAGTAGCTAGTCTTACCTCAGTGAAACCTTCCTGTCTTTTCTGAAATGCCTCATGGGCACGGCTCTCTGTTTCTCTAAGCTTCATTGTAGCCTGACATCCTTTTTTGCAAAGTTTCTGCAATTCTATAAAGTAATGTATGCAACCAGTTGAGTAAAACATACGTAATTATCATTATATTCAATAAATATATGCTTAATTATTACATGCTTTCCCCATTGTTTTTTAGATCTTGACCAAGGACTCTGTGACAGTTAACGTAGATGGAGTGGTTTATTACAGAGTTCAGAATGCCACCCTTGCTGTAGCAAATGTCACAAACGCTGACTCAGCGACCCGTCTTTTAGCACAGACTACTCTGAGGAATGTCCTGGGGACCAAGAACCTTTCTCAGATTCTGTCTGACCGTGAAGAAATTGCCCACAGCATGCAGGTATGAGCAACTTCACCTAAGCAATCCATCAAACAATCAGTTAAGCAGCAATCCCATGGATAACTTACAGGTCAGGATTTATTTTACTTTTTCAATGATAAGCCAAGTTGTGACTTGGAGCTTTAGGCAAAACCCTTTCAAGAGCTGCTGGGATGGCATCTGTGTAATAAAAATGAGTGACTAAAGCAATAATGCAGCAGTGCTGCCAGCAAGCGGGAGCGAGGGATACAAGAGAGGAGAGGAGGGCTTCCCTGCATCATTATGTCAGTCCTCTGCAGAGCTGAAGGGAATTATGACCCAGAGCTCCTTCAATATACTCATCAAGCTCTGGGGTTTCCTGTTAGTTTACAACAGTTACGCTTTTATAATTATCAAACCATAATATAAACACAACAGCTCCTAAAGTCCAAGAATTCAAAGATAATTCATTTGGTTTATTGGTCATTCTTCAAATTTGGACATTTCTTTGCAGCCAGGCAAATGGCTTAACTTAATTGTCCTGCCTTATATAGGCCACACTCGATGACGCAACAGATAATTGGGGCATTAAGGTGGAACGTGTGGAGATTAAGGATGTGAAATTACCTGTCCAGCTGCAGAGAGCAATGGCTGCAGAAGCAGAAGCTGCCCGGGAGGCAAGAGCTAAGGTAACAACATCAACATGTGGGTTTGGATTTTTCTTTTTTTCTTTTTCTCTTCATGAATAACTTAATGTGGTGATGTAGAGGATGAAGATTCTCCGCCAGATTGTGTTGTAGCAGATAGGAGGGCAGGGCAGGGGTTTTGTGGATTTGTGTCTGGGTGCTTGCTCTATTTTGTCGTGGCTTGTGCAGGTGAGATTTCCTTCAAAAATGCAGAATCTTATTTTTTTACCACACTCCAAGTTATAAACAGACCAATTTTGAGGTTATTAACTGGAGCCTTGCAGTGAATTAGAATTCATACTTACTTCCAGCTTTTTCCTGACTTTTGCCCTGATTTTAGGCAAGTCCTTTGTTTTCTGTCTTTTGTTATTTCATATGAGAAAACCAGCTGTAATACTTCGTTTTGTCACCCTGAGGCTGAGAAGTGATCTGTTTGGTCATGACATTTTCCTCCCTTCTGAGGTGGGAGGAGGTGACAGTAAATACTGAAGTTTGGAGTAAGAATCCTCAGGGGCAGTTAGAACTGTTCTTTTCCAGGACTAGGCAAGTTAGCTTTCTTCCTTAGTGTTCTGTGCCCTGCAATTTGTCTCCTCTGGTGGCTTGTTAATCCTGTCTTGAAAACTTACTTTGACCTCCATGCAACTGTAGATTCTGAGCTCATAATTAAAAAGAAATAGGGAATAAAAGGGCTTTGCCCCAGTAAGAAGCATGCCATTCACCTGTTGAGCTCTTGTAGAGAAAAAAAAATACAGCTTAAAATAAAAAGCATTTTCAGATATATGTGTGGAGTACCTTCTGTTTTTGAGAGGCAGTGCTAAAAGTTTTTGAAAATAGAATAAATGTACCCGTTGCATGTTCAATATATGGTGCCAGCTTCTGTGATCTGGCATCCCGCTAGTGAATGGGAAGAAAATGCACACAGGGCCTGGGAAGCAAACAGGAAAAGCTTGTGTCTGAGGGAGAGAAGAGGCAGAACCGGTGAAAGAACGTGGTAAGAGGAAGTCACTGGATCAAAGTGATGAGCAGTGGCTGTGGTCTATGGCTTGAGGCTGAAGTCAGCCTACAGATTTTGAGTTTATTACTGGGCCAGAATGAATTCAGGTTCTTTCATTTTGCTTCCACAGGTGATCGCAGCGGAAGGTGAAATGAATGCTTCCAGGGCCCTGAAAGAGGCATCCGTGGTTATTACAGAGTCCCCTGCTGCTCTTCAGCTCCGCTATTTGCAGACCTTGACCACCATTGCTGCGGAAAAGAACTCCACCATCATCTTCCCGTTGCCCATGAACATTCTGCAGGGCATCACAGGTGCAAGTCACTAGGCAGGGTGGGAGGAGGAGAGTTGGGGTGGCTTTTTTGGTACAGAAAATATTTGCAACACTGAATTCCCTGTGTGTTACAGCTTATGGCCGTGTTAACAAAGTAGATTTGCTAAGGAACCTCTTTTGTTTTACTAAGTGTATTATAAAACTTAAATCTCTATGTTTGTGAATATGAATATTTGAAATTGAAAACCTCTCAAAATGAGTACAAGCAGATTGTGATCTTAAATAAGCACGTATCCACGCTGTCCTGGATGGGACACCTGTCATCTGTAACCTCCCATTTTCAAATACTATATAAAACCACTTGTGGTGAAGATGACATGATCCAACATTTGGAAGGAGAACTATTCTTTTTAATTATCGGGTCTGTAGCCCTGCAAGGGAAGTGGAACAGCCCAAACTGTGTTCTCTTGGAGTGTAAGTGTATGTGATGAAATCAGGGGATTGCACAAGAAGTAACGGCACTTGATCCAGGACTGAGAATATTGTACTGGGTACTTCTGAAAATCAAGCTCATAGTCCCCTGTTCATGAGAAACAGTTGTCACTGGAACTTCCCATCTATCTCTGTTCTGCCACACAGAAATGGCATCAACAGCCTGTAGTTATGGATACAGTACACTTGCAGTCACGGAGGGGCTGTTCTGTTGTTACAGTGCCGTGGTGCTGTGCCTGTATAGACTTAAGCTTCTCTAAAGCACTGAAAAGTTGTTGGGTCTGCCTTTATCTGTCTCTCTGAAAAATTATTTTTAAAAAGCAAAAGTACCAATTCCTGCATTTTATCTGGGTCTAAAACCTTATTTCCCGAGGAAGTAAGGTCCCTGTAAGTAGCAGGGAGTGGTGATGTTTAACAGAACATGTGATAGTGCTTATGAATCTGTTCTAACAAATCAGTGATCTACCTGTTGATGCTGCTTCTGAGCAGACCTGTGGTATCTGTTGTGGTGCTGAGGGCTTATACTCCATACCAAAAGCATGTAATCTTCAGTTTGTGTAGTCTTGAGCTGTGAGTCTAGTGAACTGTATTCATATTTTGTACCTGTTTAATAGATGTAATTACAGATTAAAATGAGAAGCAGCACAAGTCTGCATGGGGGGGAGGCTACCGCTATCACTGAGCTTGGCATCTGGTCTTTAGTGGGAGGTGGCAATGAAAATGAAAACCCAGATCAATGATGTAAATGCCCTTCTCACACTGGCCAGCATAAAGTTTACTGGGTTTTTATCACCTTTCTGCTACAATCAGTTCTGTAGTTAAAGGTACTGCAGTAAGAACAAGGTCTGCTTCCCTGGGTCCCGATGCTCTGTGCCTCTGGCACTGCTAGGAGAGACCCCAGCGCTGGTAGGGCTTGAGCTAATTGGTGCTGTTTCTTTTCTGCCTATTTGCTGTGAATGTTTATTTCCTCCGCGTTATAAAAGCAGTATACTCGTCTGGATGTGTTTGTCAGTACTTCAGTTAATCTAAGCTGAGCTTGACTTTTTGGTGGGAGAAATATGGTTAACAAAGCTGTAATAATTAGCACTGCTGTGCTCATGCGCTTGAAATGGGAAATAGAGTAACTGCACAGCTTGAGGTTAATCCCTGGGGGAGATGAGTGGAACTGTACCTCCCCCTGCTGCTGCTGTAGGTGCCCCCCCGGGAACTCTTGTTGACACCAGGACCATGCTTTTTGCTCTTAGCCTGAATAAAAAAACATGCTGTTTACTAATGAGTGACTTTCTGAAAGTAGAGTACTTTTAATTTATCAGGGTCTTAAATGCTAATAATTCTGGCGAGGGGAAAGGAAAACAATCCCAAAAACCCAAAAGTAATTTCTGTAACCATTTAGAAAAAGTGCCCGTGCAGAAGATGGCACAAAGAAGGTTTAGGATTCTAAAGTGTATTTCTTTCAAGCAAGTTCAAACGTGGATCTACAGGTTCTTTGTAACAAACCCCACCATTTCTATTCTTCACATATTCCATACCAGCTTTATTGTATTAAATATAATCAAAGCACGGAGTAGGGTCAGTGACTGGTCATGATTGTTTTTGGTAATTATTGCACAGCTAATTGGCTATTAACATCATTGCCCTGTTAACATGAACCTGCAGGAGGAAGTAGCTCTTAAGGCATTGAAGGCACTAAACTTGCTCCATTTAAAAAAAAAAAAAAAAACTTGTTACTCAGACATCCACATCTGCCATTGCTCTCTGTAGGGGATCAACAGCCCAGTAGTCATCGTCCCAGCCCAGGAACCAGCCGGAGAAGGTTGGTGGCTCAAACCCTTGCTTAACCACTGTGACTGGAGTTCTCCGGTCGCGGCTGGCCGGATCCGTTTCAATGTACCGTTTAGCTGAAAACACACAAGAAGAAGGAAGTCTTGTAGAGTACAAGTCTCCCAGAGCAAGAGCTGAAACAGCTTAAGTGTAGCTAGATGGATGCTGAAGATACAATTTCAGATCTTTCATTCAAAACAAAAACCACAGAAAAGTTTTCACTCTGGTTTTATCTCCACCTGGTAGAAGACTGACACTTGTTTGTAGAAAACTGACAGTAGGGTTATAAAATGCTGTAGGACAGTGGCAGGCTGCACCCACTTACCCACACCAGAATACTTTCTCAGTGTTAGGGCTTGAGCACAGTTTGTCTGAACATTACACCTCTTCATGCCAATCTTAAGGATCTTTACTTGAGAGATGTGATCTCGTTGACTGCTCACAACATAGAATTTTATGGTGGGGTTAAGGTATGTTTCTCAGTATATTAAATTGCCTGCCTTGCAATCAGATAGCGGGAAAATAAGAAATAGTTCAGAGAGGAAAATGTGACATTACCAGATTTCAAAGCCTCAGTCTTCTCTTCCTCTTGGGCATCTTTCCCAATCCATACAAAGACCTAAAGATAAAAAACCCATATGAATTATTTCAGCAACAATCGATCTCTTTATGGAAGAAAGGATAATTGAGACAAAGTCTCAGTGAACAGAGTGACACAGAACAAGAATGTCCTCGTGTTGGTGACCTACGTGACTAAAGCTGTTGGTAACGAGAAGCTTTTTGACTGTGTTTTATCTACATAAGTTCTAGATAGATGAACAAATCATATACTAGCTTAACATCAGCAGAAAGTAGCAGATGTTCGAGCATTTTTACGTAAAACATACAAAATTAATCTCTAAGTTGCCTTTTGGCTGATTTATGCACAGTCTGTTGCTGAAAAATAACAGAAAATGTGTCAGTATCTTAAACTGCTGCATCCTGACAGGGGTGCTGCCAGCCAGAAGTTTACAGGCTGGGGAAGGCCGTATGATACACAACAGCCAGTTTCCTTCAGCCCTTAAGCTAGCCAAAGGAGCAGCAGGACACCAGCTCTTCTCTCAGGTTCCGGGTGTAAGTTCTCTTCAGTGTCACTAGAGAGTTGATTTGTTCTCAAGCTCAAAGATGAAAGGACTCTATAATACAACTCTTCCAGCCGTTGCAATCAGGGTCTCAATCTGGAGGCAATTTGTGCATATTTTTTGCTCCTCTCTTCACTGGGTAAATGTGACATACCTGATCCCATGTGTCAAGGAGCATAACATCATCTGTAGCAAGGTCATCCTGAGTCAGATCTCCAGGAACTTCTTCAATCTGAAAAACATAAGGTTAAGATAAGCACATCAAACGCCATTTTACCTTTACAGGAGAAATCCAGTTCACAGAGGTTCCGGTTTCACCTCTTGCCAGTGAGATGCATTAAGCTGGACATTGGCACAGTATTTGAGCGTGCAACTCCAGCTCTGTCACAGAACTGCTCTTAGACCACAGAACACAAAAAAATCCCTCTCTGTCTACCTAGAGAAACTGTCTTTCACTCATGCCCAGGACTTGTAATGCCGCCTCTTTTTACTCGAAAGATTCTAGAGTTAAAATCTGAAGAGTCTGAACACCAGTTGTTAACCAGGGAAGGACCAGTTTGATACTTCAGAAAGTTGCTGTGCTGGCACAACAGTGCAACAGAACTAACTGCTGTCTCTGCAGAAAAATGGTGCTGCTGCTTTCCTTCTGGAGGCACCACGGCCAAGGAAGATGAGGTGTAACAGTCCGTTGGCTCAGAGCAGACTGGGACTGAGTTTCTCCCAGCTTTGTCAGATGGATGTGGAATTAATCAACTATCTTCCGAGATACTCACAACGAAGCGTCCACTCTTATTGGAGCATGCAAAAAGACGAGGGGGGTGAGCATCCATCTTCTTGTCCTTCAGCCGGGGAGAGGTACGGTAAGGAGCTTTTCCACCCAAAGCTGCCCAGAAATTACCTGAAAAAGAGAATGAGACACTGATGCTTCAAGTATTCATGGAAACCACAGTAGCAGTATGGTTTGGGTAGGACTTGACACACTCTTCTACATCAGAAAGTCCCAAAGGCCTACGAACACGAGTGTTAAACATAATGAAGATACTTTGGAGAAGCCTCTCTGTGCCTCTATCCCCATTTCCTTGTGCTGGGAGACAAAAGATCCATGAAATAATCACTGAGAACGTGCAGCTACACAGAAACGCTCTCAGGCTCCGTGGTGCCTCCCTCACCTGGCTCTCTGCCCTCAGAAACCTGTACCGGGCGAGCTCCCAGCGTCTTCAGCAGCTCCTGTGCTCCCGCTTTCTCGGTATCGCTGGCTCCTTGGCCAACCCAAAGGTAAGCAGCAGAGGGTGTTTTCAGGACAAAGGCATCATTGGAGTTCAGCTGACTGGCAGAAGGATCCAGCTGAAAAGAAGAAACACTGCATGTGGCAGATGTAATCGTCCTCTACACAGAGCCCATTATTTCAGAATAAAGATCAATACCTATCGTTGAATAAACTGCAAACAAGATATTCCATACAAGCATGTAAGGTTATAAGATCTGTTGTATATTTGCCTGTATCCGAGTGATGAGTTAGACTTAATCATATGAAAAGAGTAAGTAAATGTGCAATTCTGTGTGTAATCCACAGATATATACAACCTATGGCAAGAATGCCTGGATCTGTCATTTTGCCAGTCCTTATGACAAGAGGAAGATTTTTCACAATGAGAACAATCAGCCACTGGAATAATCTCCCCAGGGAAGCAGTGGATTCCCCAACATTGGACACTTAAGATTCGGTTGGACAGGGTGCTGGGCCACCCTGTCTAGACCAGGCTTTTGCCACGAAATGTTGGACCAGCTGATCCTTGATGTCCCTCTTCCAGCCTGGGATTCTATAGTTCTATGAATTTTAAGAACTTGCTGGAGAGACCACTGTCAAGCAGTGTCCCTGGTGCTGAGGCTGATCAATCATTAATATAATTTCCTCTATGTCAACAAGGATGTGCCATTTAAAGCTAGAAACTTGGGAAGTTGCTGCAGACATAAGCCAGTGCTCTTGCCTCACCTTTAGAGAGATTTAGTCTCTCCTGTTGTACAGCAATTTTTTTGTGTGCTTTTTCTTTCAAAGGAGTGGGGCTCAGCTGCATCCTGGCACAAGTTCTATTTGCATATAGGGCATTTAGCACTTTCTGTCTTCAGCATCACTGTCGCACAGGCTTAGAACAAGTCACTGGCCAGATCCTAATGATTTTCAACAGTTTGAAAAGTATCATAGCATGCAGGATGCAGCATCTAGTGGGGACTTAAGAGGAAATTGCTTAAATGTATTCAAGGTAATGTTTATAAACTAATTAGAAAATAATGATTATAACTACTTATCCATGGGAAAAGAAGAACCTTTTACTAGTTTGTAAGGTTTCCAACGTATGTTCCAGTTTACGTTGGAAAGCTCAATTTGGCCCTTGTTCTGTTCAAAGGGCTCATGTTCCCATCACAGCCCGTGCACACAACATGAAAGTTGACTCTCCACATACCTCTACTGCTCTGGTAGCTCCCGAGGTGCTGGATCGGACCTGGAACAGCCGCGTTTCTGCAGGTGCTGTTTGGCCTCCTTCCCTAGAGGTTCCACCCTTGTAAACAATCAAGGGTTTTCCACCAAACATACTCATCAGATGAGGTGGCTCTTTTCCTTGCACTACTCTTTTCTAGAGAAGAAGAAACCTGCTGTCAGTTTTAAGCTGCTGCTGAAGAGAAGCACAGGATATACTAAAGTGGTCTTTACAACCATCTTTCCAGCTGGGATCTTAATATAACACCTAGCTGGTCACGGCAGCTTAGCTCTTGTCTCCTGCATAAAACCAGACCAGTGGTTAAACTGAGCTCTCACCACTGCCACGTCATTTTAACTGGTGAGTGATCCACTGGCACAGAGGGAACAAGCAACAGCCGTAAAAGCCCTCCTGTCTCATACAGGCCACTTGTAAAACTTCCTTGTATAGTAGCTGGAGTGTAGGTTAGGCACAGCTGCTCCGTAACACCTACACCGTGGCTGGAGGCTGCCAGTACATGACTGGGTTTCTCCACTGCCAATTGGTATCATACATATATTATATATATATATATAAAATTTATTCCCACTGTGTTGGTTTTTCTTGTTTGGTCAGTTGCGTTTGGGTTCTTTACCTGCACAGGGCTGCCTCCCAGCTCCTCATCCAGTTGTACTGTGAGGAATGCAGAGGTTGCAATTTCATCTTGAGTGGAATCGGCACCCTGCCTGAAAGACAAGGCAAAAATCTGAGTTTTATTTTCAGTCCTTTCACACACACACACACACACAAACACACCTACCTTACAGAGATCAAGAAGAGGTAAGGAAAACATTTGTTACCAAACCTCTGCAGCA